TCCCACCTTGACCAGTTGGTCCGTCTTGCCCACCACCTCCCCCGGGAGGAGGAGGAGGGGGCGGTCCAGCTTGAGCGCGTTCATGCCGAATATTGCAGCGTGCACATCGCTCAAGGCCGTCATTTCCGAAGTAACAGTGGTTCTCACAGACGTGAGTCCCACAATCCGTACAGAGATACACGGAGACCTCCTGAGCATTCTTGCGGCATGCCCAGCATTTCATCTTCAAGAACTGACAATTGCAACAGTCCCCGTCGTCACCACGGCAAAGCCCGCAGAACTCACGACTGCATGTCGCACACGAGAATTCAGCATTCGGGTGCCTACGGTCGTTGGGATCATCGAGGGCACAAATCTTTGGCGCGTCTGGGCCACCACCGCCGGGAGCCCCTCTTGCAGCCGGCGCTGAGGCCTGTCCACGATCCGAAGGAGCTCTAGCAGTCCCTCGCCTATCGCCGGGACTCTGGGCGTCGGCGCTGACTCTGCTCCCAGGAGTCCTCCACTCATCACCAGGACTCTGGATGTCGGCATGGACCCTATTATCCCCACCACCTCCTGAATGACGACCTGGGTTCGGAGAGACGTTCCCGCTATCGCGGATTGGCCTATCAAAATTCGGAGAGACGCTCCCGCTATCGCGGATCGGCCTCTCCCCCCTCGGTTGTCGACTCCGGGCCTCAGATCCCCTATCGGGGACGGCAGCAGGCCTCGGGCTCCTATTCCTACCCGCATCCCTATTGGGGGAAATAGAAACGTCCCCCCTTGCGCGCGCGCGGGGACCACCCCTTGCACGCTCCGGTGGCGAATGCGACCTGTCAGGCAACCCCCGAACCCTCCTGCTCCTGCTGTCGGACCTCTCCCTAACGGGATAGATGGGATGCCTGTCTGCGCGAGAAGGATCGACCCTATCGGGCACATTCGGCAAAACATGATCAGGCAAAACAACGCCTCCGCCTGGTCTCACCGGCAGGCCAGTACCCCGGCCGTCACCTTCCCCTGGTGTAGGCGTCGGTGACCTGATCCTATGTCCTTGCCCCGCAAATGCATGGTAACCAACATTCCGTCTTTCTCTGGGTTGTGGAGGAGCTTCATTAATCTGCTGGACACCCTGAATAATGCCAGCAGCCTCGTCAAATTGACCCTCCATCTCAAAGAGCTGGGACATGATTCTGTTGTTCGCGGCGCTAAGGTTACGCACGTTACCATCGATAGCGCTGACTCTCCGCATAACACCTTCAAGTGTACTCCGGAATGTGCCGAGCTCTCGCCTAACGGCAGGCTGCACTTGGTCACTGCTGGCAGGAAGATTACGGATCTGTCCTTGGATGCCATCAACGACCCGATTCACAACTGCCGATCTCGCTTCATACTGTTCAACATGTGACTTCACGGTTTCAAACCTAGAAATGATGTCGTCATGATCCCGACGTTGACGTTGAATTCCTCGAGCCAGATCCTGCATCTTCCGATTGATCTCGTCAACAGCCTCATGCCAGTCCTGCGGGGAATCATGCCCTGATGGTCTATCGACCTCCTGAGAACCCCTTCCACTCTGCAGTCTAGACACTCGATTAACAAGACGAGTGTGCTCTTCTTTGACCCCTTCAATAGATTCAGAGGCCCACTTGGCAAACGTCTCGTGATCAAGGAGAGCTTTCTCGATCTTCAGGTTTAACTCCCTGAAATTTGCATCGACTACACTGCCGCTGGCCCTATCGGACGGATGCGCGACAGGATTCGGGTTCCATACGCCTGCCGGTGTCCGCATCCCAACGGTTTTCTCTACCGAGAACATCCGTTTCTCAAGCTTGTCCAAATCCTTAAGGATCTCGTCCTCAGAAGCAGCATGGCTTCTGCGGGCAGCCTCATTATTCTCCTGAATCATCAGGCGAAGCCGATCAGTCGATGCCTCATTGTCCCTGACAGATTCATGGACCTCGTGGGACAGTAGGTTAATCCTCTGCTCCACGACCTCGGCTTGCTCATCGATGGCTTGCCTCACAATGGCCTTGCTATCGGGAATAACTTCCCTTGCGAACCGTTGAACTATCATTCGCATCCTCCCGGCATCAGATTGAGTCGCAACCTCAGCTGCCAGTCGATCGACCTTGTCCTTCGTCTGTTGATTCTCGTCTCTCCATTCCCTTCGCATGGAACTCACTTGACCGTTCAGTAACCTGATCTGGTCAGCAAAAATATGGAAAGCTTTCGCAACTGAGCCAGAAACCTCACCTCTCTCGAGCATCTCCTGGATGTGCAAATCGAACACCTCCTTTGCCCTAGCGTCACCTGATTCACCGGAAGAATGAGACCTGAGTGCTGGAGGAGTCGATATCTCGATCCTCTCAGGAGCCCCACTAGCTCTAGCATATCTTCTGGGGTCATCCACAGGACTATCACCAACCCCAGATGGCCTGCTAGGGGTAGAACCCCTTCTACGGCTATCGCCGGAACGGGGATCAACATGGGACGCACGAGACTCGGGAGTAGAGTGAATGTGAACATCAGCAGGATCAGGCATCTCCTCATCCTGCGGAGTTGAGGCCATTGGTGAGGGGCTAGCCCTCCTCGCCTTCGACCTATCGGTCTCAATGGCCAGGGGTGACGGTCTCTTCGCAGAAGCACTACGTTCCCTGGCGGTCGAGCCCCATTGAGGTGTGAACTCGTTGCTGGACCTTAGCGTTTCAAGGTCACTGGTATCTCGCCCTAACGGGCTAGCGATCGACGGACGATCCTCGATTCCGAGTGCATCGGCAAGCCGGCCATCTCTTGCACCTCTCCCAACGACATCGGCAACCCGCTCAGTGACTCTCGGCGAACCAGTAACCCGGTTCGAGTTCACGTCTCTCTGATTTAACGGACCTCCAAACGTAATGTTGGGAAAAGGGGGAACATTCGGGGTATCACCAATCGCCGGGGGACCTACCGGTCCCTCACGGTCATGGATAGCCTCCAATCCCCGAAGAACTTCCCGACTGTCCCTGGCTCTCTCTCTTTCGCTTCGGGCATCCCTGTCAACGCGAAGGTCCCTGGCGGCTCCACGAGAGAGGCTCCTGGGCCTCGCAGCATCACGGATCCTAGCATTTCGTCGTGGTTGGTCCTCCTCCTCATCACGGCGATCCGCAAACGCGGCATACTCGTCATCATCATCGACCTCAAACTTGGCAGCGGCGGGACTAGTCCTTGCAGTCGCACGGCTGCCTGCATCTCGGCGCGAATGGCTCTCCTCCTCATCCGCAAAATTGTAACCTTCGCCATCATAAGACTCAGATTTGGCAGTATTAGGGTTGGGCCTACCGGCATCAGATCCCTGCTTTGAGCTACTGCCCCAACCTGCGGTTGATTTCAACAGATCATCGTATCCGAAGTCTGAGAACTTCCGCTCCTCGTGCTCATCAAACTGACCTGGATTCTGAGAACCAGTGGATCGGCCCGGGATACCTCCCGGAACCAGAACCATAGTCCCTGGTCCCTGCGGCCTACTCTCAAACTCATCCGAGACCTGCGACTCACCTGGAACAAGAGATCTCGGAGGTCGAATCGGCATGGCCTCCGGGTCATCCGAATGAGGGCGGGCCATGTCCATCGCCATGCTGGTGAAGTCAAAATGTCCACGCCTGTGACCTGATTCAGAGCCACTCCTACCGGAGTAAACCCTTCGTGTCTGCTCGTCATCAGTGGCCTGGCGGAAAATACGATCGTCTCCATCGTCGGCGTACCTGCCACGGCCCCTGGGTGTATCCCTACCGGGATCTTCACCCCTGCGGTCCTGACCTGTCGAACCTGCTTCGAAATCCTCGTAGTCATAGTCCGGTAGGTCCTCACCTGAGCGGAGGCCACCTAGGATGGCCTCCTCATCCACGACGCTCCTGCGAGATCGTGGGGTCGACATAGAGCTTGTAGTTGATGGTCTCAAGCGCGTAGGAAAGTCCTACGGCTGATAACCTGTGATTCGGGCACGAGCCTGTGCCCAGGCAATGGGTAAGTTGGGGTAAACAAGCCACAAAAGAAAGGTTCCCCAAAAGCAAACCAATCCCCGGTCCCAAAGATCAGGGTTTCCCACACACCAGAGAACAACAACCAAAGGAAAACAAACCAAACCAGAAAAGGATACCCGCAACCTAGATCGACGATGAACCGCACGGGCGATCCCCACCAACCTACCCCGGGCCGAAGTCTCTTTCTCCTCCGACACGAAGGCGGTCGACGTGAGGGCCCGGCGACGCTCATCCGAGGCGCGCCGGATCCAAAACTTGAGCCAAAACACCACAGGTCGGTCACTAACGCGACGTCCCTGATGATGATATGAACCATGGCTAATCACAGCTAGTGTATTCGCTATATAAGTCTCCGTTTATGGTGGCAAAAACCAGCTATGCAATGTAGGCAGACAATGTGAGCACCACAAGCAGAGAGGGGACCGGAAACCAATACCCATCAACCTTCAAAACCCATAGCATCTAAAACCAATGCGCAGATAAGTTTGGTCATACTGTGAATGGACGAAATCCTGCACCATCAAAGAAACCCTGGAATAATGGTTCCCCTGTACATACCAAGAAATCATCATGGTTTTTCCTGGTTTCAAAGTGGTGCAAACGCATTTTGTCCATCAAACAGTATTGTTAATGTGTACAATGGATCGCCTTCCAATCGATCGCCAAGGCGATCCATCCACACACACCCCACCGATTCATCTCACAGAGTGTGACGAGTTTCCCCCAACCGTGTTTCTTTCATCCAAGGAATCCGCTTTCCGAAAGATCTCTGCTGAGCAACAAAAAACGGTCCACAGCCCCATGTGGCTTCGGTTGGCCACATGCACAGAAGGCCCTCAGGAACCAAAGGAATTGTGATTCGCAGAAAAGACCTGACGCCACGTAAAGCGGCAGAAGGCTTTGCGTGAAACGCCTTCCGCAAGTTGTGTCTTCAACAGTGGTTTTAACCGCAACAAGGCCAAAATACAAACACCTGACTCAACTTTTGCTTCTCCAAGGTGCGCGGCGGGGCCATCTTGATGAGCGCAGAGCCGGCATCTTGACTGCCTGCGAAAGGGTGGCAGTTTGGCGATGTTCCTCTGACCCAAATGGAAAAAAGGGAGTCTAGGAACCTATTCTTTTTGGGATTGAGCATCTTGTATTGCGTCCCACACCCAACAAGTTTAGAGGGTAGAATCCATTGAGCGACTGGGCGAGAGTAACCAAAACATCACCCCCTACCAAAATACGTGCACAACAGCCCAAAGTTGGGAATTTGACTCTGCAAATAGACCGAGGCAAAAAACCTCAGCAAAAAGCAAAAGAACACACTTCTTTGGGTCGGCTTTTTATGTAAAGGGAAGCCCACCACAGCCCGAGCCGCTGTACTCGCCGTAGGTATTCAAGAGACACACGAAGATCACCACGGCCGCCAGGATCGCCGCTTTGTGCTTGTCCCCCAAGCTATAAGACACCACCGCTGCGATCAAACTAAGCAGAAACACGATACCTCGGTGGCGAAATCTGCTCCGCTAAAATTCTGACTAACTTTGAGTGGTTTGATTCATGGAAACCCATGACATCATGAGTTGGCAAAAAAAAGTTAAAGTCCTAACATCCCTTGGCCAAATGCACCAAAGATACTCTGCATTTGCCGGAAGAAGATCCGGAGGATGCCCTCCTGACGATAAAGCGGGCGTTTGGAGGGAGCTTCTGTTGGCCTTCGGCAGTCTGCTGCTTCGGTTCTTGGCAACCACGTCGGGTGTGGTTCTGTGCTTTCCAAGTACTACTGTGGGTGGACTAAATCCATTTCGCACCACCTAAGAATCCCTGGCATGATGATTCCCTTGTAAACACCAACAAACAATGGTTTCCCATGGTTTCCAAGTGGTGCAGGATTTCGTCCACCCACAGTACGTGGCGTCGCACCAGGTGTTTGAAACGAAGCGAGGTTCAGGTTCCCGACGTTCCCGAAGTCTAAGACACATCCAACTACAAAGCAAAGTTAACGCAAGCCCGGAAGAAAGGATTCCCGTCTCCGAATTGCATTGTAGGGGGCCCGCAGAAACCTGGGTGCCCCGTCCCCAAATTGGCTCTCACCGAACCGCCTGGTGGCCGTGGGGGGAAAAAACACACAAACCATCCAACAAGTTGAACACAGGAAGCGATCCAACAAACGCATACCCTCCCAGCGACTACCACATGGCACAAAACTGCCTTTCCAAGTGGAAGCAGTCTTTCTACAGGGTCTGTGCACCAAGCCATGCAATTGACGTGGGGAGGGTAACTCGGTTGCAAAAAGTTAAAGTCCTAACATCCCTTGGCAAAATGCACCAAAAGGTAATTGAGCAAAGGCAGCGCCCGACCGTCGCTCCGCTCCTTGGGCGGCGGGTCCAGCACGTTGGGCCCATCCTCCGCCCGGCGGTTCTTCGCCTCCGCGCTGCTGAGGCCCTCGGCCCCGAAGGTGCCGCCCGTGGGACAGGCGCCGCCGCCGGGGAGCAGCGGCGTCGACTCCATCCGAGCGGCTGAGCGGCCGAGCGACAGGCGCTTCGACCCGGGGAAGGGGCGGGTTTTCTTTGGGCGCCCTGGAGAAAAGAAGCCCAAGAACTAGGGGTCTGGTTTGGTTGGCTGGAGATGCCAACACAAGCCGTCCGCAGGGCAGCTTGTTTTCGCTGGAAAGTATTCCAAGAGGAACTGCGTTGGCAAGCTAAAGGACACCCCTGATCTTGCCTGAAGCAGTAAATTGATGAAATGGCGCACTGGTGGTCTGGTGAAGTGGCTGACATGCAGGCTTAGTTGGAATGCGACGAACAAATGGCTGGCGAGTGGGTGCTTGGGATTGTGGTTCTACTTTCGCGGGGAAATGCCCAGGGGTCCTGTCCGGGAGTTGAACGTGTCCGAGTTGCTGAGTGGATGTAATTTTGAAAACAAGTTTTTGTAACCGAGCTTCCAGAATGAATAGAATTCGAAAGGGTACTGGATTGAGCAAGCCAATCAATTGTCAAAGCAAAACAGCAACAAACACTCCGTCACTCAGCAACTCGGATTCAGATATGGAAGACCTGAAACTTAACTACTTGAGCCACGTCCAAGCCGGCCAAGCAACTCCGCAACTCCGACAAGGCGCGTCCGATCTAGGTGACACATCACGGCATTTCCCCAAGACATACTCAGTCGCTCAAAGGACCTGGAACTAAAAGGGCTATCCTTTTGGGGCCATGACTACATATACGCCAAAATGGGAAAACCGAAAGGTCAAAAGGTCGATTCGCTTTGAACAACTGAGCTTTTTGCAGAAGGTTTTCTCCCCAGTTTGCTTAACATGCTTAACCACCCTGTTTGGTTCTCAGAGCCCTTTCGACCTCCAAGACGACTCTCAGGGTCCCGAACCCATCAAAACAGAAGACTCGCTGGCACTGAGGTCTGGAAGAGGAGTCACTCAACCATTGAGCTGCCGTAGCTGGATCGATGCACAATGCCTTGCTGTTCCACACACCGTTGCAGTTCCTCAAGTCTGCGCTTTCATACAAACTATCCAGATTGATTTGCAAATGCAAGCATTCACCAACCTGAAATTGCTAGGGCCTTAAAATGCATGAGCTGGGGCTTAGCAGCTCATCTTACCGCAAAGGTCGTGACAAATTGCACATACGTTGTGGGTGAATTGAAATTCACTATCCGAAAGCGACTAAGGAATCCCTATAGGAAAGGACCCCCATCGTACGGCTGTGCGGTTGGATACCCAAACCATTAGGTGGTGGTTGTTCTTGCTCAGACAGCAAGTAAACAAAGTCTCACCGGATCATGAAACTGCCCAGTGATGTGAGGTACCTTGTCGCATTTTCCCCCTCGCAGCATCAACATGTCAAGCTCAGACCATTTCAAGAGTACAGTAGTCTTCCAAAACCCTCCTGTCCACTTCCATGGAAAAGAGCACCCCCCAAAAAAAAACAAGGGCAGTGGCTCAAAAAACCGGTACCAAAATGGGTTACCCTGGTAAGTGGACACATGGTTGCCAAAACCTGCGGACACCGCCCCTCCGATCGTAATTTTGAGCCACAGCCAAATGCGAAAAGTGCACGGCGCCCCAGCCAACCCCAGGCGCTCACGATCCCCCACTTCCTGGCCTCCCGCGCGGAAAGCTGGCTGATCTGATCGGAGGGGTGAAGCCCCGGCCGAATAAAAATCTGTCATTCTCAGATTCCGGGACATGCTGCCCGGAAATCCAGCCATGGGTATGGGTCAAAATTAAGCCACCATGGGACACCAGGTGTTTAATCCATGTTTCCATTTACCAGGGTTCCCATTTTGGGTACATATTTTTGACGGAAACCGCAAAAAAAGGGGGCCACCAAAAGGAGCGTCCTCTACACATGGTGGTTTTTGGGCTCCATGCTTATCTGCGTGGTGAATCTTGTCTGTTGGCGGAGGCCGATGCGCGTTTTTCATGCACGGCGCGGAGGGATGGCTACGTAGGCTGCGTTGGCTGCCAGGATCACAGGTCGGCCGCTCTGCCCTTGCTGGCGGCGATGGAGACTATCGGAAAAACCACAGATGCCAACCGCCGCGGGTGTCCAACCACCGCGGTGTAGCGCATCACGTCTTACCGCGGATGGACTTAAAATCCATTTCGCACCACCTCAGAAACCCTGGAATGTCTGATGATTCCCCTGTAAATACCGACCAACGGTGGCTTCCCACGGTGTCCAAGTGGTGCGAACTGGATTTCGTCCATCCGTAGGATCTGAAAGAGGAGGGCTTCCTTGAGTTTCTCGGGCCTCGTGTGGGTTCGTCTCATGGGTTAAAAAACCATTTGCAAGCTGCTGGATGCGTCGCTTACGTTTGCTGGCCCCTCCAAAACAGACATAGCCACAGAGTGAAGAAGCCAAAACCAACTCACCTCAAGGGAAAACCATCCGAAGAAGCAAAACCAGCAACCCAGCCGCATTGCTCAGGAAAAACAGGTACAAAGCAGCCACAATTCCTAGGATCAACAGGCGCCAGAGAAGGGACACGCGATTTGACACCAGCCACCCACAGAGTACACCATCCACAATTGAAAAAGCGCCGAAATGGCGAAAACCCCCCAGATGTTTACGGTTTCCCAAGTTGGCACCTTCCCCGTTGACTCCTTGTCAAGCCAATGAAACAAACCAACTCTCCCAGGGTCTAGGTTTAGCACATGCCAATCAGGGCCGTTTACAGTAACCTTCGGACACATACGATTCCGTTGAAGCCTTCTATTCTCAACCGCAACTGGAGCCAATGGTCCTCCAAATGCAACCGCAAGGGAACGGAGGGTAAGGTCAACACTAGCTTCGGCTTCGGGGTGACATGGTCATGGAACATAGCTGCTCCTTTCTGTGATATCCTTCAGTCCTGTCCAAACGAGATGGTCGCTTCGAAGGGAATGGACCCGAGTGGCCACTCAAATGTTAATTTGCCACTACCCTGCTTTGAAACGGAACGAACATTGGAAGCACGCTAATCTAGGGGTTGATCCCTCCTTTTCTTCGACAATCGTTCTTTTCAAAAACCATCCCTGGGTTTTCGGGGGTTTTCCAGAAAGAAGGATCCCTGGAAAGAATGGGGAAGGTACCCCTAGAACTAAGACATTTGCTGCCAGCTGCACCGTTACACCCGTGCATTTCACATGGTCGCGTTGTGTTTGCAACGACAATGGTCAGCTTCTTCACTCCGTGACGGCGTCTTCCAACGGCCATTACCGTTGGTCCCTGAGTCGGGGTCGAAACTGGGCCGTACATGAAAGAGGTGACCCCCGCAAGTCCAAGATGGGCTTGTTGGACCAAATGAATGGAGTCCGCTGGTAAATGAATTGAACCATAGGGAAACCATGGGAAACCGGTTGTTTTCAGGCAAATCATGGCAAATCTACATCCTAGACATGGGCATCTCAGATCTGCAGAGGCACCCCTTCTGTTGGCAGGTTTCAAAGGGGACCCCCCCCAAAAAAAAAAACAACAACCACAAACATGAACACGTTGAAACACGGAAGCCAGCCACAACAATTGGGTGTATTCTTTTCTTTAGGGGGACACCCCCCCAAAATGGTGGGTTTCCTTTTGAAACCTCCAAATTGAACGGCTTCCCTCAAAAAAGACGAGCCACTTGTCTGGCGGTACCTTCCCCACTCTTTCCAGGCATCCTTCTTTCTAAAAACCCACCCAAAACCCTGGGGAAACAGCTTGTTTTTGAAAAAGAACGATGGCTGAAAAGAATGGACAAGGAATCAACCCCTAGAACCTGCACCTTCCCATCCGCTCCCCCTCCCCGCCTCTCGCTGGAGCTGCTGAAAGGCGCGATTCTCCGGATGCGCGCGCAGGCCCTCCTGGCCATCGACAGAAGCATCCGAGTGGCACCGAGGTTTGGGATGCTCGGTTGCGAAATCTGCTCCCCTGCTAAAAGGTTTTTTGTTTTGTATGTTGTTGTTTGTTTAGAAAATAAACATAAAAATAAAAAACAAATGTGGTTTAACTGATGGAAAACCCATTCGTTGGCAAAAAGTTAAAGTTCTAACCTCCAAGCAAAATGCACCAAAGGATGGGTTTCTGGGAGGCCTAAAGGACACCAGTCAGTTTTGACTTTGACCCGTATTTGTACCCCCAGAGTCAGCCCCAAAACGTGGGGTCTTTGACTGCGTTTCTTTGAAAGGATGGATTTTTTGAGTTGCTCTGCCTTTTGAACACCATTTAGAGGGCTCGTCTGAGGATGTCACTTTCATGGACCTATAATATTGAAGCTTTGGCCCAACGTAGAACCACAAGGAGCGGTTCAGAGGAAACGCGTCTTTCCGGGGACCCAAATGTCCCATGTTAGTGGAAGGGCTCTTGCGCAGGCGTTTCACAAGTCTGCACGAGCACCTATAACTCCCTGACCTGACTCAACAAACGCCTACAAGCACACGCTGGTGGACATCAAGCTACCGCCCATGACAGTTATGTCCGCCATGGTTTGAGAATGTGCCACTTCATGCAATTCAGATCCTTTGACCTTTCTCTCCCATTGGCACCGAATTGGTCCCTTTTAGACAAAACATGTGTGTGTGTGTGTCTGTGTGTGTGTGTCTGTGTGTGTGTGTGTGTGTGTGTGTGTCTGTGTGTGTGTCTGTGTGTGTGTGTCTGTGTGTGTCTGTGTGTGTGTGTGTGTCTGTGTGTGTGTGTGTCTGTGTGTGTGTGTCTGTGTGTGTGTCTGTGTGTGTCTGTGTGTGTCTGTGTGTGTGTCTGTGTGTGTGTGTCTGTGTGTGTCTGTGTGCATCTGTGTATGTCTGTGTGTGTCTGTGTGTGTGTCTGTGTGTGTGTCTGAGTGTGTCTGTGTGCTGTGTCTGTGTGTGTGTGTGTCTGTGTGTGTCTGCGTGTGTGTCGGTGTGTGTGTCTGTGTGTGTGAATGTCTGTGTGTGTGTCTCTGTGTGTCTGTCTGTGTGTGTGAATGTCTGTGTGTGTCTCTGTGTGTCTGTGTGTGTCTGTGTGTGTGTGTCTGTGTCTCTGTGTCTCTGTGTCTCTGTGTGTCTGTCTGTCTGTCTGTCTGTCTGTCTGTCTGTCTGTCTGTCTGTCTGTCTGTGTGTGTGTCTGTGTGTGTGTGTCTGCGTCTGTGTCTGTGTCTGTTTCTGTGTCTGTGTCTCTGTCTGTGTCTGCGTGTGTTTGTGTGTGCTTCCAAAGCCTATTCAAAAAATAGACGTTGTGACAACCCCGTTTTTTGACTATGACTATGTTTTGACGAGCGACAGTCTCCGTTTTGGACTGGAACAAGGGCTAGGAAAGACTTGACTGCATAGGATCCCAAAGCCGAATATGTATTTGCATATGCTTCAATATATTTCACGATTTGCAAGGCTAATGTTGGCTTCCATTTTGCTTGGTTTCTGAACGTGGCCATGTAGCGGGTGAAGGTGAACCTCTTCTAACCATTTCTGTCCTTCTTCTCGCCCACCCCCGTAGCCAAACCCAAAAAAACGGGACAGCCAAAATCTCTGCCCATCACAGCAACCATTCCAGGAGGATTGCCTGCACAATTTGCCCGGTCTATGCTAAAAACTGGTGGTTCTACGCCAAAAAATAGTGGTTCTACGCCAAAACATAATGTTTCTACGGTTTTCTACGGTTTGTCTACGCTCACGAAGTTTTTGGACCTGTGTGAGAATTGGAACGGAGCAAACAAGCGCCACCTGCGCAAATTGCAGAGGAACATCATAATTTGCTAGAATGAAGGCTATGTCTACGCAAGACTTTCAGCAGGTGCATTGCGCAGACACAACAGGAACCCGAGGACCCTATCAAGAAACTGTAATTTACTTAGCTAGCAGAGAAATATGTGGCTCCCAAGGCTTAAGAGGTTGCAACAGCAGGCGCAATTTTCGAGAAAAACAAAAAAACTAAG